GTGAGGTTTTCAGTATATTATATGGAAGAGTGTAATTTAATATGTGTATATGCAAGTTAATTCTGATTTATGTCCCTGGGGGCACCTCATACTTGTGTCTGTGTGTTTAATGCATTGTGTTTTCCATGTCGAAAGAAAACAACATCTTTTTTCATTGTGGGAAGAAAAAAAAAATCCATTTGCTCATTTATGACATCATCCAATTCCTTTTAATGTAGGTTTCTCCTAAGTTAGTTTTCCTTTTTAGTTTTTAAACTTGCTCACTGCTAAAACCTCTTTGGATTCAAGCGAAAATGTTGTCTTTGTTCTTAATACCAGTGCCACAAACTCACGAAAAATTTTAAACTTAGTCATTTACTGCTATATTAAGGAATATGGACATTTTGTGGGTCCATAAAATCTTACAAGAGCCACTAACAAACCCATGATGACTTCTTTTCTACACCCTCCTCCACAGGACTCCTATAAAGCAGCTAGAGAGCGCACAGATGGAGAATTGGAAGGATAGCCATAGCAGAGGCAGAAGGAAGTTCAAGTAGTTGAAAGGAAGTGCTTTCTGAGTAAAAGAGAGAGAAGGGGAGAAGCAAATTGCACAGTGATGAGAAAAGGCAGAGCCACTGACAGATCACGCCTCTGACAGCCCACAGCTCTGAGGGAAACTGATTAAAATCTGGTTAAATCTTGTGAAATATAAACTCTTACAAAAAAAAAAGGCAGAGGAATAGTGCAACATGCTGTAATAGGTCTGAGATTAAAACTGAAATTAGCCTGTCGGTTAAGTGTTTGCTGCTTCCACTGAGTGATAACAACGTCTTGCTTTAACCTCAATTATGAGAGGTGATCCCTAATTGGTTTTGTTCCACACTGCTCAGACAACAAACTTCAGACTCCAACCAAGCGTGAAAATATATTCTGCATGCCCGCAGCCTACAAGACACACCCTAAGGTCACTAAGCCATTAACGTGTAAGACATTTGTATGCCCAAATCTCTTATAAGAGATTAACATGGTTTTCCACAAAGTCACAAAATAAATCATATTAATTTCAGCATTTTGACTCAAAAAGGCTTCTCTAACAACCAGATATTATAAAATGTTTCTTTTTATCGAATCACAAGGCAAATCAGGTACACCTCCTAGTGGTCATTGGTGGAGCTGCCTAGGATGGTATGAAGCCCCAGGCATGATTTTATACAGTGTCACACTTTCTGTTAAAGCCCCACCTTCCAACTCTGAATGTGTTTTGTAAGACTGAGAGAATTTTAAACTATTTGTTGAACATTTGCACAATGTTCTGGAATTGTTTTTGCTTTTTAGGGTGAATGTATAGGATTGTATCCTGCTCTGGACCTTTCTGCATGGAGTCTGTATGAAGAAATGCTTTCCCTTTGCTTAGCTGGTAATTTCAAAAATGTTCTGTGTGTGCGTGTAGGGCTCCATTCTTTCAGAGACTATATAAGGATTAAGTGGATATAGAAATTATTAAATATACATTTTTCTGACTTTTTCTGCTTTAGAAGTCATGTCATGACTAATGTGCTGCATGTATGAAAGACAAGGGTCCAAATTAATTGTTTGTTCAAATTAGTATATGCAGAAAACTTGAAATCATCTGATGAATAGTCTCCAGTCACTGTGTGCAAGAAATTGGCCTCAAGTACTCTAACATAAAAATATGTTTTAACTAGAAATTTATTGTATAACTGCTAACATAATTAAACTGTGAAAATCCCCTAAATGATAAATCACTTCTGTTTAACCCCATATATCCCTTTATAGATCTAAATATACAATATATATGATATAAAATAACACATTTTAAATGTGTTATTTGTTTAAACTCATAGTGTATTTCACCTCATGCCTTTACATCTATAGTTTGTGTTATAGATTGATAAAGCCTTAGGGTCCACATGGTGGCCTGGAAGCCTTCTAAGCAGCAGCTGGGTTTAGACTTTATCCAGGTTTGATGGGCCAACTGGAAGTACCACCCTCAAAAATTAAAGCCCACCCAGGGCCCCATTCAACCTTGCTCCGCCACTGCCCTCTGCAGAACATTAAAACAGACAAAAAGCAAAAAGAAAAAACATCCCCACTTACGGTAAAAGACATATTCAGTGTAGCTGGACCAGATCTTGTCTTCTGTGTGCTGGTTGACAAACGATGCTGTGACTGAGGAGTTGCAGGCTACCATCTGGAAGCCGCACTCTGACAGCATGTCAAAAGCTCTCTCCAGGTGCTTGAACTTGAGATAAAACCGGGAGGTGTACCGCTCCGGGGTTCTGTCCGGGTCCCTGCTCTCGTTTAGCGTTTCCCCGAACACCTCTTTGGCCAAAGCCACCCTGCCACAGATCAGTATCCGAGGTACTCTCCTGAATTTGGCGTCGCTCTGGCTCTCGCGCCCCATGGTGCATGACCCCCGGTACCCCACTGTGATGAAGCCGCTCTTCCTGTCCGCGGGGACCAGAGAGGGGGGTGGACACTGTCTGTGGTCACTACCCTGGGAACCGTCTTCGTGGTCGCTGTGGAAAAAGTCGTCCGGGCTGTGCTTGATGTCCTCCGGGGTCAGAAGTTTCACCAGGTCTGGGAGCTGAAAGTACTCTGCCTCTTTCCGGAGCCTCCCTTTCTCAGGGAAGTGGTCCGGGAGGACGACCTGCTTGTCTCGGAGGTAGTCCAGCACATATCGGAATAAAAACCCATCCCTGTCGATGAAGTACCGACCCTTGGGGTCTCTTGCCAAATCGTTCGATGCCTCTTTTTTGGAGGAGAACAGTTTACCGAGCAGCGAATTCGGGGTCCCCACCAAAGTGGAGTGGCGGGTATAATAAACCTGTCCCCCTACGTTCAGCTCAACAACATCTGGAAAACTGTTCTGGACTGAAGATTGCAGGTCTTTGGGATTAGTCCTGCAGTTTCCACTCAGCGCCATTCTTTTTTATTTTCTCTGAAAATGATGGGGAAAAAAATAAAAATAAGTGGTGTCAAAAGAAGCGTCCTCCTTTATTTGGTGGCAGAGTCTCCAACTTCATCTCAGAGCGATCTTCTTTTTCGTTTTTCTTCCATTGACGTTAAATCAGCGACCCTCTAGGTTCGTTTATCCATTGCTGAGTGTGCAGCGCGCCTGGTGGGTGACTTTGGTGGAGGAAAGAGGAGTCGGTGCTGTGTTAGAGTGGAGAGCTGAATTAGAGGCTCACATTAGCGACTCTTTACAGCCTTTGGGGAAAATTGCTGAGAGAAGCCTTAATGCATTGGCTGAAAAAAGAAAAACATTCCTTGCATGCTTATCTTTTGTTCCCAGTAGTATCTTCCAACAAAGAAAATAAAGCTTCTCACAAACACGAAGGAAGTCAACTTATTTTTAGGTTATAGTCCAAAGAGCAGAAGAAAAAAAAAGGCTTGGGGTGAAGGGAAACTTCGTAGCTGATTCTGAATGTGTTTTGTCTTTACAGTCAAACAAATATATATTCGTTGCTCTCCTAAATAATGTAAAAATCGAAATCCATGTGTTGTTGTTTTTTTTTAATCAATATTCTTGGAGCCAAAAAGTCCGAAGAGCCGCTGCAGCTCTGAACAGGGAGCTGTCCGTGGTGCTGATCTCCTCCTCAGCCTCCTCTGCAAGCACCGCCTCCCTTTCCCGATAGAGTTGGGTGGTGTCTTCTTTTCTCTCCTCTGCTATGCTGTCCTCCTCATCTTCCTCTATTTCACGCGCTCACACAAACTCACAATCACACGCTGTAAAAAAAAAAATAATAATAATAATAAATGTTATCCTTAATTTCTCACACTTATATTCCTATATGCATCAGTCACTAAGACTATATCACTGCAAATAAATTTAAAAAAATAATTTTCTTTTTGTTAAAACAAAAGTTTTCATGAGATGCATCCATCTGTGAACCAGTAAAACTGCATCCATTTGACCTGTAATTTGATTTGCCTTGCTTTAAACTTTTTTTCAACAAATCACATTTAAGTTTTTAATTCAAAATAATGTCAGTTTTACAATTGATTTAACATATATTTATTTCTTTATAATTTTTTATCTTAAAAGCGATAAAATAATTACAACTCATATGAGCCATTCTTAGAATTTAGTGGGAACTCCTTGGTACAGAAAAATGTCTCAACAGCGCCCTCCTCTGATTTTCCCACACACACTCGTACAGATGTTTTGATTACAGAAACTGTTTCTGGTACTTGCCACTGTAGTTCTGTTGTAATCTGCAGGATAGTCTTATAGTACTTTAAGCTGTTTTACTGCATCTTCCTTTTTACATAGGATCCTCCAGAAGTCGGCCTGGTTTACAAATCAAAAAAATTAATGTCAAAAGACAAAAACTGTTTATCTTAGTTCATTTGTATTAAGTTATTTTGAAGATTCTATATACTATGCATAGAAAAATATGGACTTTAGTCCTGCAGAAATAAAACAGATACATAATATGCTTTCATTTCAATCTGCTGATATGAATTAATTTGAATATGCAACACAATTGTCTGTACTCACTTTGTATCGTGCTAAGGTATTTACAACTCCTAAATCTATTTTTTTCAGCCATAAATCACACATGTCAGTGTATTGTACTGTAATTTTGTGCAATAGACCAAAGCATTGTAAGGTACGATCACTTATTGTAAGGAAAAAGATAAAAATGTTTTAAAATAATTAATAATTCAAAGTAGACATGTACTTACACCGTCTAGAGAAGCAGGAGAAAATTTAGGCCAATAGATACTGATTTTAAAAGATTTAATTTGTGGGTAACTGGTGTCATTTTATGGGGTATATGACTCCGAGTTCAGTGCTATTGACTTTCTTGTTCAGGTCAAGTGTGGTTTTAAAATGCCCAAAAGGCTCAACATTTTTTGTCTTTCTAATTATTTTTTTTTAATGGTTTTAGTTCAACTGTAATCCGTTATGCAAGCAATGCAAAGATATCCCTAGAAAGCAAAAAGTCACACTATATCCATAAAGATAGAAAGGTAAATTAGCTGTGCTTCAAATGCCTCCTGAGTATAACTGTCATCGAAGTTCTTTTAGTTTTGCTAAATTTCCTATTTATTTCTATAAATCAATTCATAGGACAGAAAATGAAAGAGCACAGTGAAACAAGTGTTCCATATGAAAATGATAATACACACAGCAGAAGAGGCAGGAATAGGCATGCTGGTCGTTCCATCACAAATAGATGTGCCCACTCCACTGTGTTATCCTGCCTCAGTCTCTCCTTCAACACTGTAACTATATAGACACTAAAAGTGTTACAGTTCCAAGCTATAAAACATCACATCATGCCTTGCAGAAAAGCTTTCTACCCAATCAACCTTTTCAAACTGGTAATATGAAAACAAATGTTTTGGTCATAGACCAGCAAATCATTGTGGAAATAGAAGAAAAGGATAGGATTGAAATCCATTTTATATTTATGTTCTGCTTTAAATTAGTCAATTTAATGAAATCCTCATAAAATAATGGAAGTTTGTGATTGTAATGTAACAAACAAATTTGCCAAAACAAATGATATGTACGGAACACCTTGTCAAGGCACTGTATCTTTTCACACCCATTGCCGTTTTCTCTGACATTTTTTTATTTTACATATTCACAATTCATTTCATCAGTTTTGTATTAGCCGCTATAAATGTATGATAAAATATTCCGTCCCCAAGCACAGCAGTGAAATTCATAATTTATTATTTTTCCATGAAGGCCACCAGCATATCAGAGAGATTTTTAATTTTTCACTTGAAAAAGAAATCGACTCATTGCACTTCCAAGTTAAATCATGAGTGCTTCTCTTCTTGACAGAAAAAATTCTTTCGTAGTGAGTCATTTTCTTCCCCTGCATTGCATAAAAAAAATCTATTAAAAGGGAATTTTCAGGCTAGTCACAGATGGTTGAAATGAACAGTATACTTCTCCCACCTCCATCTCTCATTACCACCGCGCACTGAATGATGCCAGGCGATGAGAAATCTGCAAGTACAGCAAGCGGACATTCAATGCATAAATCCCCTCCACTCGCAGAGGGGAGTATTTACTAAAATAACTCTGTGCTCTGGGATAGGGATGATTATTTATTCATTCATATATTTCTCAGGTTCAGATAATGATCATTTGCATAGCCTCTGTCTGGGAATGCAAATTAATGTTCACTTTAAATAGTCCATGAGTTAAAAGATAATTTGCTTAAAAAATACTATATCTGTAATGGGATTTTTGAAACAAGTCTAATGATGCTCTCATTTGAGAAAAAACTTGAAATGCAAAACAAACTAAAACAGACGTCCTTTTTGGCCTGAGAGGTGCTGAAGTGACCATTAGAAAGATGTTATGTAAATGTGATGGGTTGTGTAATTGGGTAACTCTAAAAATGCCTCAGTAAAAAAACAAAACAAAAAAACAAGAACAGTATACCACATTTGAGAAAAAATAAGATGATGATTTCAAATTTTTTTTAATCTGCAAACTATTACAAGCACAGAAACAAAGATTTATGTGTAGCAATTTCACAAAAAACTTGTAATGGCCTTGACAGGTTCCAGACGGACTAAGGGATCACCTGCAGACAGTGACTAAAAGAAGATGTCCTCATAATCTGAATGAGCAGAAGAAATTTTGCGATCAGATATTACACATTCAAGACATGCAGTGCATTGGCTACCAAAAAAACTACTGAATGTTTAAATTGAGTCAAAACATGTTTAATCAAACTAGTAGCTAAAGTTGTGCATACCTCTTTGAACTGGGTTATCGTTTTGTTTGTATCTATGTCTTTATCTGTGAACTTTTCTTTTTCAAATAATTTACCGTGTTTACATCAGCAAAGTAAAAGAATAAAAATAAATTCTAAAGAAATTGTGACTCCGCTCCTTGCTGTGGATATCCACACATTTGCCTTAGTTGAATGACACTTGTCGTTCCTTTCTTAAAGACTAAATAGGTAAAATGGCCTCTGTGTGACAAGGCAGGAGAATCCATAGAAGGAAACCATGTAGTTGTATTGGAAAGCTTCTCCATTTTGTGAGGAAAAAATATGAAGGAAAATATAAACCATGAATTTGGTGTCTCTTCTACTAATTCTATAAGAAATTATTGGAATGAATCTAAGTTTGACAATGAAATACTGTCTTTTTTATTTTTACAGCTGAACAAATGCACTTGAATTAAATAGACACATGTCTACATTTTTCAGAAAGCAAACTTACCTTGTTGGATCATATGTCGGCATACAATGGGAGAATCCAAAAATTTTTGAAATGTTCAAATTTGTACAGCTGGATAAATATTTCGAGCTGTCTCAAAAAAATCAGTCAGCAGAAGCAGAGGTTCATAGTTCCTACTTGTTTCTGCACATCCAACCATAATGATACTGTAGGGCTGGTGCAAAATTAAACATTCCTTTAAAAAGGTGAAAAGCTTATATCAGTTCCTCCATATTTGTACTTTTATTATTTTAAGTATTTACCAAAGAAAAAAGTGGATTATAAGCCCTTTTATATAAGGATAAAGCAGTGGTGAGTAAATGTGAGTTGAGAGGGCTTTTCAGCCTCCTGCCTGAGGTATACAAACAAACCCAATCATTACGGCATGTCTGCTGTATGCCGCATTGATCTTCAAACGTAACTCCATGAAGTCGCTGTGGGAATCAGCAACAAACTTGCTGCCCCAGATTTTTTTTTGCAATGCATAAACTATTTTTAGCTAACAACAACATCTAAGAAAACTTAACCAAAATTCTTCCTGCACACCATAGCCAACAAATATTCACATGAAGCTTTTAGATTTTAAATGACTAACATGTTATTCTAGAGGGTGGAATCTCTATTGGTTTACTCTCTACAAGAATCAGGACAGTTATTCAGTTTTATTTGCAAATGTTTGCAGCAGAGCATTTTAGACAACTTTATTTTTTTATTTGTTCAAGATAATAGTTTGGCTTAATTTATTGTGACTTGGCGGCTGTTGAACCAGGTTTATTTAACTAGAGGTCCAGTGAAAACTATTGTGGCTTTGGCAGCTAGAGCAGAGCAGGTTGATCAGATCCACAGTAAGTGGAAAGCTGCAAAATAGGAACGTTGAACATCTCAGCTTGTTTCTTGGCTGCAGTGGAGCTGTTCACTCCACTTCACTTCACTCCCTAAACCACTCTGCAGGTGAAAAGTTATTTCAAATCCTTATTTCAAGCTGCTTAGGTAATCCTTTTTTAATACAGTTACCATGAATTATATACATATACAGAGCATTGCAAGGAAATTGCAATACCTTTCTAAACTTGTTCCTATTTTATCTAATCAACCTGTGAAATGTGCTCCAACAACCGAAAGAGCCAATAATGATATGTATTTGGCAGAGCTTTTTAAGGTGACCAATGCACTGTAGCTCATTATGATTGAGTAGAAGCAGTAGTAAAGATAAGTAAAGGTGAAATCTAAAAAGTCCAGCATGAATTTAGCCTTAAAGTATTATTTAATTCCTTAATTAAATACCAGATTTTGCTGCTATTACAAATGGGGTTAAAAGATCAAGCTCAGTAAAGCTGAATGAAGAATGTTAACACAACAGT